GTGACAAGCGTGGTCATGCTCTTCCTCTTTGATGGTCCTGGGATCATCTGTTCCTGAAATGAAAGATTAACTCCTCCCACCTTTTAGTTACACATCTTCTACAATTACAGTTGTGACAATCACAATTAATCCTGTTAACAGTTACAACTGAATCATAAAATCCTATCAGCACCATTCCCCATTCCCTTTCACCTGATCCATCTGGAGAAGAGGAAAACTATTCAGTGGAGATTCTACCTTACCCCTTGTTCTGAATCTAAGCACGCCCATGAAAGCTTGTAATCCAGCCACTTTGTGCCTTGATAGCCCTATTTTTGATAGCCAATGTCTAGATTGCCCATCCATATCAACCCAACGCATTGAGGAAATAAGTTTATTCATTAATATGAAGAATCCTCCCATTCCAGTTGGAAATTTGAGCAACTGCATCCATAAGCAAAGGTCTAGTTCATCAAATTGTAGTAATTTACACTTGCTCACAGTATCAAGCATCTTTATCTTCATCTGGTTGAATTCTGGTCAGTTAGCCATCCAAGGTAAGTCAAATGGATATGGCTGCAAGTTTGGGAGTTCACGCTCACCTCCCTGCACTTCAGACTAGCTGGCCACTTCACTTTCAACTCTAGCCTAGCCTCCAGTGGTTAGGTCAGTGCCCCCTCAGAAATTCACGCATCTCTTTAAACTTCAAACCAGCCAGGCCTTCCTCTTCTCTCTCTCATCTCGAGGTCAACGGGTGTCAATGGAACATGGTCAAACTCGCCCATGTCTTCACTGCTGCATTTCCTCCATGTCCACTCACAAGTAGACCCAGGTGGTCACTATCGAGCATACTTAACTGTACTCTGGTGGGCTTTTGTCAGGGCTGAACTCTGGGTTCAACTCCTCCCTCTGCGGGCTAAAGCAGAGCTTCCCCTCTGAGCACGACAGGAAACAGGATCTCTCTGAAAGGCCCACGACCCACTCCCAGGTCCAGGGTGAGATGGGGGCACCTAAGCTCCCTGTGAATAGACTTTCTTCTCAGAAACAAAGCAGGAAATATCAGTTCTTAGCTCTCCATTTCACGTGTAAAGCCAAGGTTCCTTCCGGCATTAACGACCAGAAGTTTTTCTTAACGATCTTGGCAAAGAAAAAAAATCGCTTAAGGACCCCCTATACCCATTCATGCCTCTCGCCAGTCTTAGTTTGAAAAACCCCGCCCAGGGCAAGCAAGGATCCGCCCCACCAGGACACGCCCACTAATTTCTGCCAATCGCACTAGCAGAGGGTAACTTTTATTTGTATGTCCCCGCCCTGGACGCACGTCGCCTTATGATTGGTCACTCGGAGCCGCCACCCCCCCCCCGCAACCCGCCCTTGGTCACGCCCTCAAACCAGCCTATTTACTTTAACCATTCGTACTTAGCATATACCCGCCCTCCACTAGCACGTCGCCTTCCGATTGGCTGTTCCGCCTCCTCGCGCCCCGCCCCGCTCCTTACTTTGGTTTTCTGCCCAGAGCTCCAAGTCCAGTCAAGGCGCACAGGCCGAGTCCCGCCGCCATGGAACTAGGACTCGCGGGCCGCAGGGCGCTGGTCACCGGGGCAGGCAAAGGTGAGCGAGGCAGGCAGCAGGAGGAGGGAGGCTTGAAGAGCAGAGAGAGCGCACTCTGAGCTCCTCTCCCCGCAGGCATTGGGCGCAGCACTGTGCAGGCGCTGCATGCAGCGGGCGCGCGCGTTGTGGCCGTGAGCCGCACTCGGGAGGACCTGGACAGCTTGGTCCTCGAGGTAGGTGCCACTGACCCGGGACCACGCTGCTCCGCGGTCGGAGAGATGGGACTGGGAGCGACCCCCTTCCCAGCCATCGATCCTCAGCATCCCTTCCCCAGGGTTCGGTCTCCATGGGTAGTGGGCTGAGCTTGGGAAGAGGCAGAAAGAACTGCAGACTAGAGCCAGGGCGCGGGGGCAAGGAGGAAGTGGACAGGCAGGAGGCGGGGCCAGGTGTTTGGTCAGCGGCCTGGGACGCATCCAGTAGCCAGGGCCCTGACACCTCCCCGCCCCCACAGCCTTTGGGGTCTGGTGGTTACCAATAGCGGTGCCTCCCCTCTTCCCTGCCCAGCTGAAAGTCCACCCAGACCCTGCCTCCTCCCTCAAGCAGCAGAAGCGCAGTCATAGGCCTGGGCATGCCTCTGCTGACTGTCCACCCCCCACAGTGCCCCGGCGTCGAGCCCGTGTGCGTGGACCTCAGCGACTGGGAGTCCACTGAGCAGGCGCTGGGGGACGTGGGCCCCGTGGACTTGCTGGTGAATAACGCCGCTGTAGCCCTGCTGCAACCCTTCCTGGAGATCACCAAGGAGGCGTGTGATGTGTGAGCTGGCTGCAGGAGCCCTGGGGAAGGAAGGAAGGAAGAGCCCCAGGGAGAGGCTGTCCCTGCAGCTGTCCCAGTCCCCCCCTCTCTACGGTCTGTTCATCTACTTCCAGGTCCTTTGATGTGAACCTCCGTGCTGTCATCCAGGTGTCCCAGGTGAGCTGCCTGACAGGTGGGAGTGGGGAATGGGGGCGCCCCACGTCAGCCTCATCTCCCCATATCACTCCAGATCGTGGCCCGGAGCCTGATCGCCCGGGGAGTCCCAGGGGCCATTGTCAACATCTCCAGTCAGGCCTCCCAGCGAGCACTAACCAACCACAGCGTCTACTGTGAGTGAGCCCTGGACATTGGGCCCTTTCCCCAGCCACAGGGTCATCTGTGAGTGAGCCCTGTGTGCTCCCCCCCAAGCCTGCAGGGTCATCTGTGAGTGAGCCCTGTGTGCCCACCCCCAAGCCTGCAGGGTCATCTGTGAGTGAGCCCTGTGTGCCCCCCCAAGCCTGCAGGGTCATCTGTGAGTGAGCCCTGTGTGCCCCCACAAGCCTGCAGGGTCATCTGTGAGTGAGCCGTGTGTGCCCCCCCAAGCCTGCAGGGTCATCTGTGAGTAAGCCCTGTGTGCTCCCCACCAAGGCTGCAGGGTCATCTGTGAGTGAGCCCTGTGTGCCCCACCCCCCAGCCTGCAGGGTCATCTGTGAGTAAGCCCTGTGTGCCCCCCCAAGCCTGCAGGGTCATCTGTGAGTGAGCCTTGTGTGCCCCCACCCCAGCCTGCAGGGTCATCTGTGAGTAAGCCCTGTGTGCTCCCCCAAGCCTGCAGGGTCATCTGTGAGTGAGCCCTGTGTTCCCCCCCACCCCCAGCCTGCAATATTGGACTCCACCCTACTCCTCCCACAGGCTCTACCAAGGGTGCCATGGACATGCTGACCAAGGTGATGGCCCTGGAGCTTGGGCCACACAAGGTGAGCCAGCAGGGAGCTCCCATCCAGCCCCCACACCCAGGGGCACCTGGCCCACCACGCTGACCAGTCTGCCTTGCACAGATCCGGGTCAATGCTGTGAACCCTACAGTGGTGATGACGCCCATGGGCCAGGCCAACTGGAAAGACCCCCAGAAGGCCAAGGCCATGCTGGACCGCATCCCACTGGGCCAGTTTGCTGGTGAGTAGGTGGGAGGGACAGCCTTCTGGTCCCTCAGATAAAGGTGGGAGGAAGAATCAGGGCAGCCACCATATTTGCCCTGTCCCTATCCTTGTTCCAGAGGTGGAACATGTGGTGGACAGCATTCTCTTTCTCCTGAGTGACCGCAGCAGCATGACCACAGGCTCCACCCTGCCAGTGGATGGGGGCTTCCTGACCGCCTGAGCTCCTTCCCTTGCCCCCTGCCTCCCTGGTCTTTCCAATAAACACCCTCTTCTTGCCTACTCTTGATGCTGACTCCTAGACGTCTGAGAGGTGCTGGGCTCAGGGCTAGATAGAGGACAGGTTGGCTCGGGTACCTGGCTCCCACAACTCCCCTGGCCGAGATGGGGAGGCAGGACCTGTCAGAAGACTGTCTTCAGGTGTGCTGAGGGAGGTGACACCTCAGGGTGGACATAGTACAGTGCTTCTGAGAGTCCAGCCACCTCCGCTCGGCAAGTGTAGCTCCACCTAAACCTGAGATGCCTCCAAGTTCATAAGGAAGAAGAAGTGAAGATGTAATCACAACTCAGTTGTTTGCCAGTGAATGAGCTCTGTCTTTGTGATCGGACAATCATTTTCAAATGCTGCTGGAACCCACACAGATTTAATATGCATTATTAAATGTTGCTCCCCATCTGTTGCTTCAGTCTGGACAATGAACAAAACAAATCTAACTCCAGTTCACAGCATTGCCACTTCCATGGTGTAAACACTGGAATGCGAATGACTTCAAGCTCCCAGCGCGCTGTCATTGTGGCATCTCCGCTGTTTCGAAACCCAAGACATGGATCACCTCCAGGGCATAGATGATAATATCATGAACAAAAGTATGAAATGATGAGTTTGAGTGTTTGTTAGTTTTGGTTTTAAGGCAATTCACCTCATTGTCAGCTGACATAATTTTACTTTAAATAGTGGCAGTGTAACAACTGGTGAGCATCACTCTAGACAGTTTAATAGTCAGGGTCCCAAACCAGTGTGATCTGGAGCCAGCCTGAAATAAGTTCTGATGACCTGCCTGGGATAAAGTCCGAGGCCCTGGACCTTGGCTCCCAGCTGGCCTCTCTTGGGCAGACCCCCAGGCCCATCACCTGCTGCTCTGATAACCCAAACACCAGACTGCCTGCCCACCTGACTGCAGTCTCTCCTCCCACTAGGCTCTTGGGGCAGCCCTACCTGCGCTGGGTTAAGCGTTGGGCTGCTAGAGGCAGTTTCAGGGGTTCAAGCTATCAGCTGTTCCTCTGAGAAAAATCCCATAAAATCCCATAAAGATCTACATCTTAGAAACCCTAAGGAACAGTCCTCCTCTGCCCTTTAGGGTCACCATGAATAGGAAGGAAGTTGAAGGCCCCAGGGGCTCTGTGAGGCCTGACATGGCACAGGAGGTGAGCTTCAGCAGAGACCCGCCTTACCCTAGGCTTTCTGCCCTAGGCGGCACAGGGTCTTTGTTGAATGTGAGTCCAACTTGCTTGCTTCAGCTGTGATCTTTGGAGAACTGAGGCAGCCCACCGAGCGTTCTTCCCTCCCCTCCCCTCTTGCCTAGCACTTGGGGTCTGACTCAGAGATTCAGAGGTGCTGTTGTGGGGGCTACAAACCCCTTCTGCATGCTTGGCTGGGGAGCGGGAAGGCAGGCTCAGCAGTGAGGGAGGCAGGCAGTATTGGTGGAGAATGTTTATTGTAGAAAATATGGGCAGCCCATCCCAGGCATGTGGACAGACCCCACGCCCCTACCCTCATGGCAAGAAAGCCACCCTGGGGCTGCCCTGGACCCGCCCCTGCAGCCCCGAGGGAGACCCTGCTCCCTCCCAGCCTCTGGGGAAGGCTGAGCCCCAAACCTCCCAACCCTAAAGAGGAAGCTGGGAGTCCTCGTCCTCTGGGCAGCCTTGTCCCCATGCTCCCCCCACCCCCACGCCCCCCAGCAGACTTAGGGACACCACACACTTCAACACAACAGCAGACACTGGCCCGAGGGGCTGCTCCTCGCCCATCACGGGGTTTCTAGAAGACGGTACACTTCTTCCCTGGTTTCTTCACTGGGGGTGGGCAGAGCACAGCCCGGATGGCTTCATCGAACACCGTCTTCAGGCCCCGCTGGGTCAGCGCTGAGCACTCGAGATACTTGACAGAACCTGGGGGCCCCAGGGGGGATGGTAGTGATGGGGTCAGTGAGGCCGGCAGTGCGGGCAGGGGCAGAGGTCAGCAGTGTCCCCCAGAACTTTACCCCCAAGCCCCTCGCCCACTGTGCTGCTCACCTATCTCCCTCGCCATGGCCAGGCCCTGAGGGTAGGTAATGGGTGCTAATTTCTTGTCCCGCAGTCGCTCAATGGTGTCCTTGTCGTCCCGGAGGTCCAGCTTGGTGCCCACCAAGAGGATGGGCGTGTGGGGGCAGTGATGGCGCACCTCTGGGTACCACTGCGGGGACCCGGGTCTCTGACTCCTCAGGACCAGGCAGTCCCACCCGAGGCTGCTCCCACAGCCTTGCCCCACTAGCCTGAAGACCCCCACTTTGTCCCCAGGCCTGCTGGGGAAATGAACAGGCAGTAGATAAGCAGCCGGAAGCTTCCCAGCTTATCCAGGCCTCACCACAGGGCTGCACTTGGCTGTGTCTTCCGGCCCCCGAAGGGCGCAGGGAGGTCCTGCATTCTGAGAGCCCTGCTGGGAGCACCCACCCCTAGGTTTCATCCCTTTAAGTGCCCACCCAAGCAGATCCAAAGCACATTTTGCCTGAACCCTGTGCCTCACCAGGGCCAGTCCCCTGGGCTGCCCTCCCCAAAGGTGACACCCCAACCCTACCCACCTTGGCACGGACGTTCTCAAAGGAGGCTGGGCTCACCAGAGAGAAACAGATCAGAAAGACATCCTGAGGAGCAGGAAGGGCCAAGTGGGAGCCAGCAAAGACATCCCAGTGACCCCTGACCCCAAGTCCTATCCAGAACTGCAGAGATCTCCCCCAAGGCCAAAGTCTCATCTGAGACCTCAGATACCCGCCCCCAACTTCCTAGCCCCGGGTTGGCCCAATGTGTGGGGGACACCTACGGTCTGAGGGTAGGAGAGTGGTCGCAGTCGGTCATAGTCCTCCTGGCCCGCTGTGTCCCAGAGCCCCAGGTTGACGGGCTTCCCGTCCACCATCACGTTGGCTGAGTAGTTGTCAAAGCTGGGGAGGGCAGGAGGGTCAGGGCAGGGAGGGTCTGTGAGCTCTGGCCCACCCCACGCCCTTCCCACCCGATCGGGCCGCTAGCTCACACGGTGGGGATGTATTCCCCGGGGAAGGCGTTGGTAGTATAGCTGATCAGCAGACAAGTCTTCCCCACGGCGCTGTGCACGGACGACAAGCCTCGCTGCTGCCTGCTGGCTCCCCCCATCGCCAGCCAACAGCAGCCCCCTCCCACCCAGCCAGAGCCCCAGCTTAGGGGTCGTTGGACATAGGGGTCCCAGTAGCCAGTGACCTAGGGCTGAAGGAAGAGGCCCGGACAAGCGGGGCTTCGAGGGGCGGGGTGGTGGGTGCGACGCAGTGCCCAGTACTGGCCCATGCACCCCAGGTAGGAGACTGGGGGCCGGAGGCGAGCTGAGCGACCGCCCAGGGGAGAGGCCCGGCCGCACCCACGCGGAGGACTGGCTGGTGGCTTGAATGCGGAGCGCGCCTGACGGTCAGCAGTGGCCCCTGGGACGGCCGGCAGCATCAGGTGGGCCCGCTGGGCGGCCAGCCGACGCCCTGGTCCACAGCTCTTTGCCTCCCCGGCCCGGGGCACTCGTAGCCACGAGCGGGAGCTGGTGGTCTGCCCGACCCCGCCCCTGCCAGCCGGTGCTCGGCGTCCCCTCCGCCCGGGCCGCGCCCGAGTCCGGCAGGGTTCCCGGGGCTGCAATGACCCCGGCTCAGCACTCACCCGTCGCCGACCACCACGCACTTGATGGCCTGCATGGGCACCGGGGCCGGGCGGCGGCGGGCGCGGCCGCGAGCCGAGCTGCGGAGAAATGCCCGGCGCCGCAGCGGCCGCGGGACCAAGCCGAGCGCCGAGCCGAGCAGCCGGAGACAGCCGAGCGCTGCCGAGGGCTGGGCGCGGAGACAGCCGAGCGCGGTGTCGGGCGGGCAGGGGGCGCACGCCCCGCCCCCAGGACCGTACCGGAGGGCGGGGCCGCCAGGGCTAGGCGGATAGGCCAGGACCTAGTGCCCTCCAGAATGTCTGCGAGACCCCAGGATCTGGTTAGGGGGCAGTACGCTGGTGCACCGGGGTCCCGGGTTCTCCTGTGATCCCGGGCCATCCGAGAAAACCTCAGGGGTTCAGCGTAGGCACAGTTACATTCCCATCTTCACACCAACTTGTGGTCTAATGGGGTCCCGGCAAGTGTGGGGGTATTTGGGATCTTCCTAGGGAAAGTACTCAAGAGACCCTGAGGGGCTGAAACCCACCCACTCCCATTCCCTCTTCGAGACAGGTGGTGAGGGCTGGAGGTCTCTAAGATGGCCAGCAGTGGGCCACAGGCAGAGTCTGAGCAGAGGGTCTCCAGCAGACGGTGAGGGTGAGGGAAAGGCGCACAGGGGGTCGTGGGAGAAAAGCACAGAGCGAAAATGTATCACAAAGTGTAAAAACCCTGTATTCCAAAAGTCACAGGTCTGCGTTTCAGACGGCAGGCCATCAGCAGCCGGGATACATTGTAAAAAGTGATTACAAAGGACGAGCACAAACGTCTGGGGGAGCTGAGGACCATTCCCCACATCTGCAGCAACTTTGCTCTAAGGCACATGGTTCTAGGAATGGCGCCGAATCCAGTAAGGGGCCCTCCTGGGCTCTGCTGACCACCCAGCCCAGGGCAGGCATCCTATTGGCTGCTGCATCAGTCCCCCAGCTCGACCTGGGGCGGATGGGAGGAAGTGGCGCTGGTTATTCAAAGACTTAAGCAACCGGGGAAGGAGTGGGAAGGGGCACCGGCCTCCCTGGCCACAGGGCCTCCCTCACTTGTGAGGGCTCAGATTCCGCAGGGGAGCCCCCTGAACGTAAGCTAGGACTGCGTTCTGCAGGAAGCTGGCCCTCTGAGCCTCCTCGTCGCATATGCGCGCGATCTCCACTTCCTTGAGTCGAAGCTTCTCTCGTAGGGAGGCGTTCTCACTCTCTCTGTCCAGCAGCGCCTCCCGGTGGTCATTTGAGATCACTGCGGGGAGGAGGCTCAGTAAGGGGCGCCTGCTACTCCAGGAGCGAGTCGGGGAGGTGGGGACCTTCTCACCTTTCAGCTGACGCTCTAGGGCGGATATCTTCTCCCTCAACCCTTCCTGAGCTGTGAGTTCAGCTTGAAGGCGCCCCATCTGCTCCTGAAACTCCACCCGCACCCGGTTCACCTCCACCACCTTCTCCTGGTCCTTGTTATTCAGGTCCTGCAAACATGGGGTGGGGTGATACTTGACCATGCCCCTGGAGGCGGAGGAGGTGGCTGGGTGGCTGGGGTTCAGTGCGGCTGGAGAACGACCCCTACCTGCTGCAATTCCTGCAGGCGCCGCTGCAGACTGTCCACCTGCAGGCTGAACTGGCTGACCCGACCCTGGGCCTCAGCCACCACCTGCTTCTGCTGCAGGCAGGTGCTCTGGGCCTCGTCTCGAGCCTGCGTCAGGAGCCGGAGCTTCTCTTCCAAGTGGGTCAAGCGCTGTTGCTGGGGTGAAGAGGGGTTGATGAGTAGGCCCGAGTCCTGCCCTCCCTCATGGGTGCCCTGAGCTTGCACGAGGGACCGTCAGCATGTGGAGTCATGTGACAGCTTCTATCTACATCTTAGTCAACCCTCACTGGATTGTCCTGGGCCTGTGTCTCCACCTCAGACCTGCCTCCTTGGGTCACCCTTGTTGTTCCAGCTGTCAGACCCTCCCTTAATCCAGTTAGACATGAGGGCCCCACACCTGCGCCAGTTCTGGGTTGTGTTTAATCTGGGGTCAGGGAGAGCATGACCGTGGCCACCACACTGCCTGCTGGGGGCATAGGGCTGGGGCTGGGGCATTCTTATTCTGTCTGCTCATTCCCCTGCAGACCCCAGCTTGGTGTCCACACAGCTCTGCTTCCTGGCCCCTCGGCCCTTGTTGGCGCGGTCCTAAGAAGGGGCTGGCCGTGGATGGACACACCTCCTCCAGACGGACTTGAGTCTTGGCTTTCAGGAGCTCCTCCTCCACCTGACCTCGCTCACTGAGTGCAGCTGCCTTCACTCGGCTCAGCTCCTGCATGGCAGACCCCACCTACCGCTGGCTTCAGCCCTGTACCGCCCCATCAGCCCGGCCTTCCCCTGGCACCCCAGGCTCCCTGTCTGCCTCCCACCTCCCTGTGCACCCAGAACTCCCCATGTGCCCACGCCTCCCTCTGCACTGAGTCTCGCTGTCTGCCCCACACCTCCCTCTGTATTGGGTTTCTCCATCTGCCCCCTGCCTCCCCCTGCACACTGGATTCCCTGTCTGACCCCCATCAGCCTTCTAAGGATCACAAGGCTGCATCTCGTCTCTCCCTGCTGAGTAACCCTGGGCCCCCAGTGGACCCTGTCTCCCCCCGGCTGGTGCAGAGGGTCCCGCACCTCTTCCAGGGTCAGTCTTGTAGCCTCCAGCCTCTGCACCCGCTCCTGCAGGACCCGCTCGCTCTCCTCCACGTGGCGGGCCATGTGTTCTACCTGCGTCCACCCAGGGTGTAAGGGGCTCACCTGCCTTCCACGGGAGGCCTGGCTCCCCCCCCAGAAAAGCTGCTGCTTGGGTCCCCCCAGGTCAGCAACTCCAGAACACACACCCAAGTGGGCACAGTGCATTCTGGGCTCCCCTCACGCCCCCACTAGGAGGTGCTGGGCCTGACACCCATCTGAGGAGCCAGGCAGTGGGTGTCCCGGGGGGTTCTGGGACAGCAGGAGCAAGAGGCACCTCTCTGATACGGAGCTGCTCTGAGTCCTCCAGGCTCTGCTTGAACCTCCTCTTCTCCTGGTCCAGGCGCTCTGGGGGCCCATGGGCAGGGTGGTGAGACTCCTGCAGGGGCCCGCCCCAGGCGCCCACCTCCCACCCCTCAAAGGCTGGGGCCCACCCTCAGCCTGGACAGCACGCAGCTTCAACTCCGCCGATGTGTTGGTCAGCTCCTGCCTGGCCAGGAAGAGTTGCTCCTGCTGGGACTTGGCCTTCCGCTCCAGTTCGTCCACCTGCAAAGCAGCGCTGAGTGGGAAGCTGGAGCCCCGGCCTGGAGCACCCGGGAGCCCTCCTGCCCGCCCCACACCTGGTTCTGCAGCAGCAGGCTCTTCTCGTGGGCCGCTGACATGTCCCTAAGGAGCTTGGACTCACGTGCCACGGCTTCCTAGAATGAGGAGGGTGAGGGGCGATGTAGGCACCCACCAGCAAGCATCCGGCCTCACCACCCCTGCCCCCCACCCACCTGCTGCTCCAGCCGCCACTCCTTTGACTGTTTCTGTGATTGGCTCAGTCGTTCCTGCTCTGCAGCAGCCAGCAGCTCCCCCAAGTCCTGGGTCTTTTGTTCCGACAGCGCCAGGGCAGCCTCTGTCATCTGCAGCCTGCAGGGGGCAGGGTGGCCACCCCCTCAGTTCACCTTCCAGGCAGGGCCAGTGAGTCACTCCCCTCACAGGCTGGCTTTCCCTGCAAAGGACCCCTCAGTCCTGGGTATCAGCAGCCCCTGACCCAGCTCCACGACACCTGGCTCATGCCTTACTGTCTCTCATCCTCACCTAGCCCCCAATATGGGTCCCATCTCAACACCTCCTCCAGGCAGCCTTTCTAGATTGGTATTCCAGCCCACCCCGTTTCCATGGCAATGCTCACAATGTAAAAAACGTAAACAGTTGGACCCAGGGTAATGGAGTCGCTTCTGACTCTTAGTGAGTCCACAGGACAGAGTAGAAGAGCGCCTATGGGTGCTAGGACCAACCCTTCATGGCAGCGACAGTCTCATCTCCTCCCTTGGAAGCCTGCCGTCAGCAGCCCAGCACTTAACCCCCTGTACCACCAGGGCTCCTTGGTCATCGCTTTGTTGTCGCTGTTTAGTGTCATGGAGTAGGTTCCATGACTCACAGTGACCCTGTATAGGGTTCCCAAGGAGCGGCTGGGGAGTTTGCCTTGTTTTCTACCATCTCCTAGGTCCCCAGGACAAGCCCCCTCCGAGCTGAGATCACCCCTTGGCGGCCCTGGGCCTCTTACTTGGCCTTCAGAGCATTGATGATGGAGTGTCTCTCGTTCAGAGCATCCTGCAGCTGGCCTATGCGGGCGGCTGATGCCCTGTGGACAGAGCGGAGAGTCCACCCCACACCCCACATCAGAGCCCTGGAGGGACCTTCCACCTCAAGGGCAGTCCCAGCTCTCTGCGGCCAGCTTTCTCCAAAACCACACAGGCCCCCGTGTTAGGGCAGGGAGCACTGGGGTCAAAGTCTAGACAAAAACAGCCCCGCACACATAGGAATCCCACTACCTGGCCCTGACTGCTGCACCCGGCCCCCACCAAGCACCTGCTGTTCCGGGCTATTTCTTCTCGCTGCTTGTCAATGGTCTCCATCAAGTCCAAAAACTGTGGGCAGAACCAAGGAGCCTGTCAGAGTGTACACAGCCCTGCCTACTGCCTCACCAGGCCAGAAAGGATCAGCGGACAGGTCCCTGCAGAAGGCACCAGGGCGTGGACTGAGCACCTGCTTGGACTTCTCCTCACGCAGGCTTCGGACCTCCTTGCTGAGCACATGGGTACGGGCCTGGCTCTCCCGGAAGACCGCCTGTCGGTCCTGGTTGTGATCCACAGCCTGCTCTGTTGGGGGTGAGTGTGTGTTATCACGGGGAGGCGGCTGTTTCCCTGAGTGCTTCCTCCTCCCTCCTTATAGGCTTGTCAGGCGTTCTGGTGTCTAGAGTCCAGAGCCGTTCCCCTTTTCTGAAAGATGGGTTATGCCCAGCTCCCCAATGCGTGTGGATCTTCATACCCACAGCTCTGAGCACGTCCCCTGGGACGTTGTTCCCTGCCAGCTCCAGCCTTCGCAGGGTTCTGTTGCTGAGGAGACAGTTCACCAGGGCCCGTCCCCCGAGGAGACCGATATTGTTCCAGCGAAGATCTGCAAGGAAGCCCGTTGTCATGGATTGGCATGCCCCACCCTCCATACCCTCGCTGGTGGGATGGATCCCCCCAGGACCTCACCCAGCTGCTGGAGGCTGGAGTTGCTCTTCAGGGCCAGGGCCAGCTCTTCCGCCCCCTTGTGGTTGACCTGGTTGTTACGCAGGTCCAGTTGCCGCAGAGCCACGTTGGCCCCCAGTCCCGTGCAGAATGTAGCAAAGGCCTCCTCCCAAGTGCCCAGGTTGTTCCACTCCAGGGTGAGGCTGTAGAGGGATTGAGAAGGAGGGTGGTTCTTAAGATTCAACCCAGAGAAGCAGGATGCTCACCCCTACCCAGACTCCTCCAGGACAGCTGCAGCCATGTCTTCTGGGACTGCCCTCACCTCTGAATTGACTTGTTTTGTTGCAGCAGTTTACCGAGTACCTCAGCTCCCACAGCACAGAGGTTGTTACCCTAGGGCAGGAAAGGACAGGGGAGTCATCCTGCTAAGTGGACCTGTGCAACTGGTCCAGACCAAGGTGAACTCTGGGCACGTTATGCTCCCTGTCAACACGTGTCTATTGAAAGTGTGGACACTCTGCGCTCTGGGCACTGGCTCACGAACGTCCCGGCTTTGAGCACCAGGAGCACTCACAGATCTGATCTCCGGTCACTGGGATGTCCCATTCCCATTTCTCTATCCCAGCCTTGGGGGACAGGCCAATTCAAAGGGATGCCCCATTCACTGGACATCCTGTCCCCCTCATCCTGGCCTCTGGGGGCATGTCTGGAGCACAGGCCCCTCACAAGGACACCCCCATACACACCTGTATCCCAGCCTGGGGAGCGCATACGGAGTGCAAGTCCCTCCCACACAGGGAAACCTGTCCCCTCTATCTGGGACTCCAGAAGCATGTCTAGAGCAAAGGCCCACTGCTGTGATCACCAAGCCCTACCTTTATCCCAGCCTGGGGACAGGTTATCAGGAGCAAACTGCAGGCCCCCGCCCCTCTTTTTCTGTCTGGAGTCCAGGCCCCTCACCTTCAGGTCCAGCCGTCGAAGCACAGTGTTGGAGCCGAGTCCTGGCAACAGCAGCCTGGCCCCTACAGGAGAGGAACTTGTCTGCCTGCTGCTCGGTCCACGTGGGAGTCTCCCACCCCGCCAGGCGCTGACCCTCAGTGTTGCTGGCACATTGTAAAGGGAATACCCGTCTACCCCAGGTTCCAAGAAGAAGCTGCTGCTTGCCCACAAGGCAAGGAGGCCGCTGGCGGGGAAGGGTCCTGGCGTCTAAGTGCACAGGAGAGTGTGTGGGGACCCCACCTCAGACCACGGGCGCCCACCTTCCTCGCTCAGCATGCAGTCTCTCAGAACCAGCTCAGTGAAGAGCGTCTGGCTCTGCAGCAGCCGGCCCAGGGCCCCGCAGGTGTCGGCGGTCAGCGTCTGAGTGGTCAGGTCCAGCTGACCCAGGCGGGACTCCTGCAGCCGCCGCAACACCGACTCCTGGGGCTCGGTGCCGCGCTCCTGGCACAGCCGGCTGTAGGCAAATCGAAACTCTTCCATGTCTGGGGCGCGGAGAACACCATCTCCCCTCGGGTCAGGTCTGCGATCCTCCGCCAGTTTGGGGCGGGAGATACTGCCCGGCAAGAACGGGGGTCGGGTCTCCAGGTGGGGGAACGGGGTACGGGGGCCTCCGGTTGCTCCAGGAGGGAGTTCAGTAACAGGGCCTCGCCAGCGGGGCCTCTGATCACACACACCCCGCTCTGCGACCTGCAGTAGCAGCCCCCAGCCCCTAGTGCGCGGATCCTCCAACCTGGCTAGACACCCCCAAAAGATGCAAAGCCTTAGTATCCAGGAAGAGCGGGGTGCGCCGGGAAGGGGACAGCAGGGACTACAGCTCCCATGAGGCTTCGCGCAGAAGGGGCGCTCGCTGCGGGCCATTGAGAGTGAAGAGGCGGGAACGTTCTCCGGGATCATTGGCTGTGGGCTTGGGGGCGTGGTCTCCTGGAGGGCGCGCTCAGTGTCCATTGGCTGAGGGTGAGGGGCGGGGCTCCTGACTGATTGGCTGTGGGTGCCGGGGCTCCTAGGCGCGCACTGAGGCGGCGGCTATGGAGGGAGCAGGCGCTGGGTTCCGGAAGGTGAGGGAACCCGGGGATGGGTGGGAGGCGAAGCCGCGACCCAGAGGTGCAACCCGACCCCACGTATGACCTGGACAAGTGGGCATCCATGCTGCGGAGGTAACGGGTGTCCGCGGCATGTGCCGCAGCCGAGAAGCGAGCCCGGTCCGGAGGCGGGGAGGTTTGGCATCCCTAAATCCCCTTTAAGGATAGGGAAGGCCTTGGGACGAGGGGCTGGGCCGGGCTCTCCTTTGTGCACTGTGGCTGCCTGGCTCTCCGTCCGTCACCTGTCCCTGTCCGCGAGGCAGTCTGTGCCCCCTGGTGTGTTTGGGTCTTACTCGGTCCCGGTAAGAACACAGCACCCATATCGGGTTAAACCAGGAAAACCACCCCACATAGGAAAGGGAAGTGCCTCAAGGCTGTAAATCTTTATGAACATAGGACACAGGAACCATCCTAGGAGCCACTGGTGGGTTAGAACCACAAACCTCTCCGTTAGCAGCCCAACGCTTAACCTGCGGCTCCACCACTTGTGAACGTCCGACTCAGCGACCCTGTATAGGGTTTCCAGGAAGTGGCTGGTGGGTTTGAACAGCCACCTTGAGCTCCGTGTTTTACCAGTGGGAAAACTGAGACCCAGAGTATTTAAACCACCCGAAGGCTAGGATCAGATCAGGCGGACTCCAGACCTCCCCTGTGCACCTGGCGTGTACTGCTCACAAGTGCACGTGTGTGCCCGCCCTTCGCCTTGCTCCAGGGCCCGCGGCCCAGCTGACAATGCAAACTGTGAGGGTCTGAAGTGACGGCTCCAAGTTCCTGGTCACGTGGACGTGGGAAAGGGGCGCTGAGGGTCTTGAGCCCACCAACCTGGTGAAGTAGCAGTCTACAGAGGCCACAGGTTGGATCTGCCTGAACCGTTCTTCCTCCGACGGGGCTCTGCGCAGAAGAGGCAATCACCAGGCCCAAGTTTGAGCCCCTACCTCATGAGGTTGTTGAGAGGACCCCTAGGGTGGCCTCCACCTGCAAATGGAAATGGTCTGGAAGGGTCCTACAGTGAGGGGAACCCCAACACCTACGCCTGGCCCCACAAGCACCCACAGGGAGCCCACGAGCTGTGGGACAGAGGCTGAGCACATCCAGGTTTCTGCGGCAGCCCTTCTGACAGCCACTGTGTGTGCAGCACGTTTGGGTGAAAAGAGCAGGCACTGCCAGCAGGGGGCGCTGGAGCTAAGGGTTCCATGGTGGGGAGCAGGGAGCCACCTTGCCGTGACTGGGCACATCGCTTTTGCTCCAAGTGGACACACCACCTCCCTCCCACCCCTGCCCTCTCCAGAGGCTGTGCTGTTCCCTATGGTCTAACAGCTATAAATGCACCCACACACAGTAGTTGTTGTTAGGTACCAAGGTGCCAGTGAGTTGGTACCGACTCATAGTGACCTTATGCACAGCAGAATGAAACACTGCCCGATCCTGGGCCAGCCTCACTATCGTTGCCACGCTTGAGCTCATTGATGCTGCCACTTGGCCAATCCATCTCGCTGGGGGTCTTCCTCTTTTTCTCTGACCCTTCACCTTACCAAACATGATATCCTTATCCAAAACTGGTCCCTCCTGACAATATGTCAGAAGTATGAAAGACGAAGTTTGGCCATCTTGGCCTCCAAGGAGCACTCTGGCTGCACTTCTTCCAACACAGATCTGTTGGTTCTTTTGGCAGCCCATGGCACTTTCAATATTCTCCTCCAATACTGTAACTCAAAAGCATCAATTCCTCTACGGGCTTCCTTATTCACTGTCCAGCTTTCACATGCATATGAAGTTATCGAAAATACCATGGCTTGGGTCAGGCCACCTTAGTCCTTAAGCTAACATCTTTGCTCTTCAACACTTTTAAAAGGTCTTGTGCAACAAATTTGTCTAATGCAATACGTCGTTTGATTTCTTGACTGCTGCTTCTGTGAGTGTTGATAATTGATCCAAGAATGAAGTCCTTGACAACTTCAATCTTTTCTCCATTGATAGTTTACTGGTCCAGTGGTGAGGATTTTTGTTTTCTTGACATTGAGATGCAATCCATACCGAAGGCTGTGCTCTTTGACCTTCATCAGTGTCTTCATTTTCATCAAGTGAGGTTGTATCATCTGCATATCACAGGTTGTTAATGAGTCTTCCTCCAATCCTGATGCCACATTTTTCTTCATAGAACCCAGCTTCTAAGATTACGTGCTCAGCATACAAGTTGAATAAGTATGGTGACAGAATACAACCCTGGCTCACACGTTTCCTAAATTTTAAACTATGTTTGTCATCACGGTCAAGTCTACTTTGAGGAGGCAGCTCTTCCCCAGTCATAGTTTAAGGCTGTGGAACGAGGGACATCATTGCTGATGTCCAGTGGATCTTGACTGAAAGCAGAGAATATCACAAAGATATTTACCTGTGCTTTATTGACTACGCAAAGGCTTTCGATTGTGTGGATCATGACAAGCTATGGACAACATTGTGAAGTATGAGTATTCCAGAACACTTAATTGTACTCATGAGGAATCTGTACCTGGACCAAGCAGCAGTTGTTCGAACAGAATATGGGAACACTGAATGGTTTAAATTTGGGAAAGGTCCATAGCTTGGACGCCTCCCAAATGCCATTCCTCAGCCCCCAGTACCTACCTGCCCTATCACATAGAATGTCACAAAGTGAACCCCGCACTCCCTGGCCCCCAAAAAGACACTTGCCATGGGGTCTCAAGATGACCTCAGCTTCCTTGATACGTACAAAGAGGTGCTCTGGAGTGTCAGGTGGCCCTGCTTTTCCCTCTGAACCCTGCAGCACTTCCCCTACACCGGCTATCTGTGCCTCCCGCGACCTGACACAGGTTAATCTGTCCTGTGCTGTGTGTATTGAGGATTGTTGGCCCCAAAAGGCAGGCGCCCAGCAGTCAAGTGGTGCTGACAGGGGTGGGGGGGCATACGATTATTCCAGCCTCCTCTTTCCAGTCCTCTCACTAGGGTACAGGTGGACAACACCAAATGACTTCAGTTGTCCATGCACATCTGATTTCTCCCACTTCCTTTGGGGACCTTCCCCACAGTGGACTGTCAGAACCCCTTTCCAGCTTCACTAAACAGTCGTTGGTAAGCAGCTTAGCCCTTCCCCAGCAAAGCCACTGGTTTAGCATCCTACACTCTACTCCACCCCAGAGAGGCCCACTAACACAGCCCCCCAAGCTAAAAATCACCATTTTCTGTCCAAAACGTTGAGCCCGGTTGTTGCTCTGTGTTCTGGCTGCCCAACTCCCCGCTGAACACATACTCTCCCCGCAGGAGCTGGTGAGCAAGCTGTTGTACCTACACTTCAGGGACAAGAAGACCAAAGGTAGTCAGCACCAGGAACACACCATCTGCGACTGTCCTTGGGCCAGATCAGGGCCTGGGGGGGGCACCCCGTGGGGATGGGAGGTTCAGAGCAGTGACACCCTGCCCTTGGGCCACATCACTGCCTGGTGGGGGAGCACCCATGGGGATGGGTGGGCATTTCAGGGCGGTGACACCCTGCCCTTGGGCCAGATCAGGGGGTGGGGGGCACCCCATGGGGATGGGCAGTGACACCCTGCCCTCCCTTCCAGTCAGTGCAGATGCCCTGCAGCTCATGGCTGAGATGCTGAGGATCTTTGTGGTCGGTGGGTATAAACAATCCAGGGTGGGTGTCCCATTTACAGGGCTGCCAACTGGGTGCACATAGGGTGGCTGGGTCTCCTCTGGCCACTCATAGCCCTTGTGTACGGCAGAGGCAGCCATCCGTGGGGTCCGGCAGGCCCAGGCTGAGGATCTACCCCTGGTGGATGTGGACCAGCTGGAGAAGGTGCTCCCTCAGCTGGTATGTGATGTGGGGGCTCCCTGAGTGTGATGGGGGCTCCATGTTGAGGTACTAAGTGCCCATTCCTTGTCCCCAGCTCCTGGACTTCTAGAGAGCTCCCTGAGAGTGGAGGCTGCCATCCCACGTCACCACCAGCTACCTGCACCTGGGCTCAGCCTGGCCACCTCTACCCCTGGTCCTAGTAACCACCCATCTCTGCCTTTCTGACGTGGACACAGGGAGAGGGTGCGGTCAGCAGAGGTGCTGTGCTTGGGCACGGGGCCTCCGACGTCAGAGCCGGAGCCCTTCCGGAGCCATAAATTTGTTCTCCCAAAGCTCAGCCTCTCACCGTTACTGGACTGCAGAGCCCCAGCGCCTCCTGTCCGTCCACTAAATACAGTCATGACCAACACATGTGCATATCTCTTGGTGGCTGACACCTCTGGACACTGGCCCCTCCCTGTCAGAGAGCCAGTGGGGGGACTGGTTATACCCCAGGGCTCAAGGCAGGTCCAGGATGGACAGGGGACAGGGTGACCCAGGCCTGTCCTAGAGCCTCCTGGCTTAGACCTGACGGGTACTCTGCCGACCCAAGCTCCTCTTACCCGCTGCAGACACCGTAGCAGGCCCAACAACTTTGGGGAAACTTTTGTTCCTCAAAATATGAAGTGGGGTGACACTGTTTCATGGAGGGTCTTTGGGCCTCACCTCGCTCCAGCGAGGGTTCTGTGGCACCCCGTCCCGGCAGAGACAGGACAACAGAAGGGACATGCGAAGCACATGGTTTTTATTCCTACTCAGGGTGGGGGCTGGGCAGGTTCCTCTGGGTCCGGGTCTTCACCTCTTGCCAGCTGCAAACAGTCAGGATGAGTGTCACTGCCCAGGCTCCTGTCGGCTCGCTGTCCCCCGGCCCTGTCCCCCACTCCCCAGGTACCTGGGAGTTTCAACCACTTGGGTACCTTGCCCGTGCTTTTCTGCACGGGCTGGGCTGGCCCCGGGGCAGGCTCAGGAGGGTCCAGGGTCGGCTCAGTGCCTTGCTCAGGTTCCATGGGTCCAGGCTCAGGGGTGACAGGCAAGCAAGGTGAGGTTCCCATAGCCCTGGCCATGCACCTGGATTAAGAGGTTGAATATGAGGAAGGGGCTGCACCCAGCTCCTAGCCACCCTCACCTGGTCACCCTTACCTGGCCACCAGCATGTCGGCCGAGGACGGGGAGATGGCATGGTCCAGCAGTCTGGGTTCCAGGTAAAGGTCTAGGAAGAGAGGCCAGGTCAGCCCTGCAGGGACTGGACATGGTGATCAGAGGCCTTGTCCTGGGGACGGCACACATGTGCAGCAGGCTAGTACTCACCCAAAGGCTCCTCCGCACCAAAGTGCACAAGGGCAGCTGGGAAGAGGTTTGCCTGCAGGAGAGAGAGGGGTTCAGGGGTGTGGGGTGGGCTGAGCCCTCATCTTCTGCCACCCAACTGCTGCAGGAGAGAAGCAGGGACTGGGCACTGTGGGGTTCTGGGCGGCACAGGCAGCAGGCTTGGGACCAGCTGGAGGCCCCCAGCTCTCCAGGCCACTGCAGACCAGCAGGATGTTGCCCCTTGCTGAGACCCCTCCCACCCACCCAGACTAACCAAGGAAAGCCCACTCACCATCCATTTCTCTGACAGGGCTGAAGTCCCCCCACGCTGCCCTAGGAATCTGGGAACCTTAAAGTAGGGTTCAGGGGTTCCCTCGGGATGGCCCACCCGGCTTGGCACAGGGCTGGGGGCAAAGATGGCAGGTGCCCTGACACCCCTAGGTCACTGCTCTGAGGCACTTGTTGCCAGGACTGCAGGGGGAGTCCCCTGGTCCACCCCAGCCTCCCTGCACCCAAGGGTGTGTGTGCATGCAGATGGGGGGAGGGACTGAGAATGGAAGAATAAAGGGAGGAGCGTCAAAGGCCACTGAGGCTGGGTGGACTCAGCCCCGGGCAAATGGGTGGACAGACGACACCTAGTTTACCTGCAGGACCCAGGCACAGGGCTGGATGGCCAGGTCACTGCTGCCTCCCCAAGTCCCTCCCAACAGAAATGTGTCTCCTTAATGCATACCCATCTGAATACAGGCTGACCAACCCTGGTGAGGGGTCCACAGACCACCCAGAAGGTTCTAGGCTCTGCTCACTCCCTGCACAGAGCTGATGGGTGAAAGAAGATGGCTGCAGTTGCCAGGCAACCAGGGCCATGTTTACCAAGGGGGGCTGGGGCTAGAAGGGCACCCTGACCCCTGCTGGGGTGAGCCCCCACTGTGCCTCCGCCGCCCACGCTGCCTTCGGACACTGAGGAAAGCCAGGCCCTGTTATTAATTAGAGGAATCCAGGAGACTTCGAAGAAGACGGCATCAGGCCGGAGAGCAGTGGACAGACACTACACTCTGGACACAACCCCACTGGCGTACCCCTACCCCTATGCTGGGGCCCATCACCCAGCCCAGTAACCACTGAACCCTCAAAAGCTGCTCCTTCACAGCTCGCCCCTTTGCCTGGGTCCCCCAGAGCGATAGACCCAGAGGCCCCTGGGCAGCAGTGAGGCCTTGTTCCAGGTACCTGGAAGAGAGTCAGCGTGTTGTCACCCAAGACGGTCTTTGGTGGGGCAATGACTGTGGAGAGAAGCAGGTTGGGTCAGAAAGACCTCCCCCCGGAGCTCTACCCACCCCCCACTTCAGGAGAAGCTTGCAGAGACAAGGAAGCCACAGGCACGAGGCACTCCCCAAGGGATCCCATGCTTGGAAGGGGGCCCCAGGATCAAGCTATGCAGAAGGCGCAGGGGGTGGACATTGAATTGGGGACAGGCTTCCCCCTGCTCCTTCCACTCCCCAGACCCCAAATGACACTGACCCTCAGGGACCTGGGGTGGACCAGCCTGGGAAGCTGCCCCTTGATACACCGTCTAGGACCACATGTGGAGTGTCTGTGGGGTGGGGGCCATGGAGGAGGGAGGCAGGCAGCTGCCCAGCACTCACATAAGTAGAAGTTCAGTTCGGGGTTCCCCAGATGGCTTCTCACAAAGTCCCGGAGGTCTCCCACTGAGGAGCAAGAGAAGGTCCGATGGGGTCAGGAGCAGGAGGCCTGGCTCTCGCAGACACTGCCCAAGACCCAAGCCCTCCGTCTCCTGCCCCCAAGAGCACCTGTGAACTCAGACCACTTGCTTCTTTCCCAAGTTGCCCCACCCTTCATCTGTCCCCAGGAGGGGCGTTACCCCCCACCCCAAGACCTGGGTGCCTGTTTACAGATCCGCCCTGTCTTCAAGGACCCTGCTGCCCCCTTGGAGACCAGCACTGGGTGACAGGGTCCCCCCAGCCAGCCCCCACCCAGGACACATGTACATGTAAACACACCAGCCAAACCCTCCGCCTAGCCCCTCAGTCTCCCGAAGGGTCCGGCTGTCCCCAGGAGGGCCCTCACCTGTCTCGCTGGGCCGAAAGAAGCCCTGTAGGATATAGCGGTCAGGAAACAAGACCCGCAGGGCCACCTGGGCGGGGACAAGCAGAGGGTCACCAGGGATGGTCCTCACCCCCTGCTGGCCGCCCCTCTGGCTCTGGCATTCCCGGGCTGGGGGCTAGGACAGTCAGGACTAGCACATGCTGGTGACCTCAGCACCTGGTCTCCAGTTCACGTGACAGGGCATGACAAACCCGTGTTTTATAGAACACCAGCCCTGCACGCCGCTCTGATCTTTATGGAAGATCACCAAGCCTTTCTTCTGCATCACTTCCAGGTGGGTTTGAACCGCTCACCTTCAGGTTAGCAGCTGAATGTAAAACCTTCCCTAATCAGGGTTCCAAGGTTGTTTGCTAGCTGTGGTGGCAGCTGGACTACATGGGGCCGCGAGCCACACCCACTGACCTTGGGGTAGCGCTCCAGCTTCGCCTTGGTCTGTGCCTCGCGGTAGGACCTGGTCACTAAGGGGGCTTCTTCCAGGCGCTTCCTGGCGGCACAGGGAAGGTTGGTCTTGGGGCCCCACCAGAGCAGGTGTCCAGCAAGCTGGGCAGGGGAAGGAGTGGACCCTGGGGGACCTGCAGGACACCCACCGCTCACTCTTGAGCTGGGCCAGACGCTGCCGCACGTCGTCCACAGTCACCTCGAAGAACTCATCGGGCAGCTCCGGGGGCCAGGCCTGCAGCAGCTCTTCCAGGTCAGGGTGGCACACGACGGGGTCTCGGTTTACAGGCTGTGTCCAGCAGAGTGAGGCTCATGGGGGGACCCAGGCTCCCAACCCCCAGCAACACCCATCTGGGAGTACATCCCCCACCCCCAGCAGTGAGGATCCCCAAAGGCAGGAACAAGTGTGGAGGGCAGTGGATGCTGACCCGGAACTGGGCACCACCCACTCTGGGGAGCAGGAGAGAAGCACCAATCCTAACTGGCAAAAGTTCTAAGGTGGGCGGGCATTCGACCACGGTTGCTGAGCGAGGGGCATGCGTGGGGAGACGGCGCTGAGGACACTCAGGCTATAGGGCTGACACTGAGATGTCTCCCCCCAGCCCTGCCCAGCCCCACCAACAAAACACCTGTAGCTGAGGGCTCCTCCCCCAGGGCGGAGACCCCCACCCAACCTGTTCTGCCCTCCTCCTGCACGTTGCCAGGTGATGTACGTAGCATAGGACAGTGCTCTTGGCCCAGCTGGGTCAGGTTCCTGCAGTCATCACACAGAGCAGCCTTGCCTCACTCAGGTTCCCCTGACCTCTCTGACCCCAGGGCACAGCATCTGGCCTGGGAAGGCCTGGCCAGGCAATTGGGGACCCCCAGGTGGCCAGCAAGGCCCTGGCTGCCCAGCTTGGCCTTTCAAAGCCACAAGTGGCCCAGAGCCTTGGGCTGTCTACACCAGAGCTTTTTATAACGTGCTGGGCGCCAGGCTGCCCCCCACAGCCACAGCCCTGCATTCCAATGGCCCAGGGCCTCGCCCAGCGGATGGCCTAAGCCCAGTCACCGTGTCCACAATGCCCGGGCCAAGACCCCGACAGACAGGCCTGTGGGTGCCTCGCGTGGCTGCCCCAGCCCCAAAGGGCATTGAGTCCAGTTGTGGCCAGAGCACATACAGTTATTCCTCCAGACACCTGGGTCCACATCTGGACAGGAGAAGTCAGGGGCAGTCTCACGCTGCCCAAGGGGCCACTGACTTTCAGCCCCAAAATAGTAAGACAAAACCCCCTCTTCTAGGAACAACAAGGGGCTCTCCAAGCCCCAAGAACCAAGGGCAGGAGCCCAGCCCATGCACATGACTGCAGGTGGCCAGTCCCGGGGCATGGCCTCACCCATAAGCAGAGGCCAGTGCCCCAAGTGTTCCAGGAATGCCTCCCAGTCTAAAGGGCCAGGTGCCCCTCTCAGAGCTCAGAAGACATCCTTGTTGTCCACCATAGACGCCTGCCACGCCGACAGGAATCAGTAAGTGCACTCTGACACACGGACACACGTGAACGTGTATACAGACACCGAGAGAGTCACACACAGAAACACACACAGACACACTAACACAAAGACGCAGACTCACTCACATATAGACACACAGACACGTAGACACACAAGTAGACACAGAGATACACGCCATCATGCACAAGAGCACGTGGAAAGGCATGCAGACTCGCTCACATGCAGACACAGACTCAGACGCACACATTCACGCAACTTTCCTGAGCCGTTTTCTATAATCTGCTGACACCACGCAGTGTTTCCTGAGACCAGACCTTGTCCTCAGTGTTATCGGTGCCACACCAGCATAGCATACTGGCCATCTTCAAAGTGTCCCTCCTGTCCCAGGGCAGCCTGGACGGCCTGCCTCAGAGCCCATCCACCTGCCCACACCTGCCTTACCCCAAGGCTCTTGAGAGAGAACACAGCATGCTGAGAGCTCTGGCATGTCAGTGGGCGGGGACCTGTAAGCATCCCTCCCTTCTGATGTGGCCTGGGGGGTCGTGGGGAAACTCCCAGACCACCCTGGTCCTCTGCTGGACCGCAGACAGGAGAGGGTGGTGGGATGGAGGCGTGGAGGGTAGACACCAACTGGGTCAAATGCAGGGCCAGGCAGGGACCAGGGTGACCCCCCTTCATAGTCAGGGGTCACCGTAGCCATACCGGCATGGGCGTGCCGGCAGAGCCCATGGGGCAGCCTCGTTTCCTCCCAAGAGGAATTTTCCAGGACACGATGACACAGGGGGGAGCGTCAGGAACTACTCAGTGTTTGCTCTGAGGGTTTCTACCCCCCTTCTGGTAGTGGTTTGGGGGGAGGAAATGTGACTCGTTTCCCCGAGGCACTGGGTTGAAGTGAATCACCACAGGCCGGGCCAAACCTCCGAGTTCCTTCCTCAGGCAGCCAGGCCATCTCAGAGTTCTGCCTCCAGCAGCCGCCGGACACTGGCCCCAAGGAGCAGGGGCCCTGAGCCATGGTGCACCCCAGGGCTAAGAGCAGGGTGGGAGCCCTGGGGCATGGGGGGTGGGGGGGTCTCCAGGCACATTGTTCTAGGGGAGCAGCCCAAATCAATGACCAGCTTGGCCAGGCCAAGACCACGCAGGAGGCGCACCAGTGAGGAGCAGGGACGTGTCCAGTGGTTAGGCGCTCACAGATATCTGGTGGTGACGGGGGCTTCCCAGTCCCTCTCGATTCTCCCGCAAAGTTTCCACCACGGTCAAAAATTACTTAAGTGATGTAGAAACGGTCTACGTAAACTCAGGCTGCCAGGGGCAAGCTCTGCTAGTCTGAAGCTCAGTGTCCTCCCCAGGGACACTATCATGGCTCGGCCAGCCACATGCCACAGCACATAAAGCCCACAGAGGGGACCAAAAGCCCACCTGGGGTCCGTGAGCTCGAGGACAGGAATCAGTCCTGGGAACACAGTTCCCACCACAGCCCCAGGAGAGAGACCCTCAGCCCAGACAGGCAGGGCATGGGCTAGATGGACAACCAGGGTTCCTACAAACAGAGCCATGAGGTAGTGAAATGCTCCAGCCCCTGGCCACCACGCTGCGGTTACACCTGGCCACTGTCCACCCTAGAGACATGGCATCTTGGGGAAGTCCCAGGCAGGCAAAGGATAAGTTGCAGCCAGTCAGGGGTGCTTACCCATTGGTCGGTACTGGGCACACCCTGTCCCCACCAAGCACTCAGCCCTGACTGTCCACCCTTGACGAGCCCCCTGCACTTTCGACCCCCGATATTTACTCTGAGGGAGGGCAATGGGGGTGAGGCAGAGATGAGGGGGCACGAGGCCCCCAGCTCCTCAGGAAGGAGTCGCTCCTCTATGTGCCTTTGACCGATGAGTAGCCGGCGGCGTGTGGCTGCAGGACCGTGGAGGCGGCGGCCATGCGTGCCTCAGCGGGGGAAGGGGGCACGGGGACTTCAAAGGACAGGCCAGGGGGTGCCGCTGCCCCCCCCACCCCCCCACCCGCCCTGCTCTGATCACAGTGAACCGACCTTCTAATAATTACCGTCCCGACATCAAAGGCGGAGCTGCTGGGCCGCAGACCATCCCGCCCGAGGCCGCCAGCTCGCCCCCGCTCCCTTCAGACCTATTGAAGTCCAAACCACACACAGAACGCTAATGGGGAACTTGGAAACTTGTTCTGATTACTAAAGTGCACCTTTGAAGTTCCCCCAAAATGCTTTGTTGTCTTCCCTCCCCCAGGACTAAAGGGACACCAAGCAGATGGCTGTGGCCAGCAGGCCTCCCTCCGGGTGCGGCTGCTGAGGACTCCCCGGATCAATCAGCCGCAGGCAGGCTCAGATCAAAGGGGACAGAGGCCCTCTGAGTCCCCAGTCACCCTCTCCCACCCCTGGGAGCCACCAGGTCATAGGTGGACAGAGAGCCCTGCCCTGGGGGAATGGACTGTGAGTGCCCAGGGGCAGGCCTCCCAGCCACGCTCCTGCAACATCAACAGAGGTGCGGGCATCCCCAAGGGCCAGCCTAGGGTCTCAGGAAGACGGGCAGGCTGTTGTCAGTGCCTCGAAGGGACCACCTGATTCAGTGTCAGTAAGGGGGCCGGCCAAGACACAGCGTGGCGACATGACAGGATGGAAGTGTTTTACAGCCGGAACACCACCAATGACAAAGAGGAGCAGCGTCCTCATTCACAATGGGCACCCCAAAAACCCAAGAGTCCACAGACAGGACATGGGGACAGCAAAGAGTACCGTAAGGCCTGGGGACACCTTCAGTCAGGACAGGCTGAGGATGCTGGGATACAAGATCCTCAACTGCCCGAAACAGTCAAGAGGGGCTCAGTATGAACCCAGGGGCCAGGGAGCTGCCCTGTCCTTGCCATCCGGCCTCAGACTGGCTGGCACAGAGAAGCCGAGTTCTGGTAGTAAGGACTCCAGAACTCCCAAAGCTACACTCTGTCCTGTGTTCCATCAAGGACACAGCACAGGTGGCCTATAGGCCAACACAAAACAGACCCATAGAAACCCAGGTCATCCCAAAGGGTGTCACTGTTACAAAAACAAAGGTTATGGTGGACATGGGAGAGGTGAGGCCCTGTGACAAAGCAGGGTGTGAACCAGCGCCGGGTCCACCCTGACATGTGTGGGGGCGGGGGGAATGGCTCACTGCCCCAGAGAAGCATCCCCCCATGGCCCGGCTGGAGGACTGCCTGCCACGGCCCAGACTGGGGGAGCGTCATCCCCCCATGGCCCTGACTACAGGACCGGGGAGTCAGTAGCATAGTTGTCTCCATGTGGAGTCTGAATGCTTGTCAGCAGCAGGATCCAGGCTAAAGCACCTCATAAGTCCTCACGTGAGGCTCTCAGGAGGATACTGCAGGGTGGGTGTGGCTGAGGGTCACCACAGGGCCCCACAAGAGGTCCTCAGAGGAGGGGACACAGCAGCTGTGATGCCAGGCCAGGCACACCACACCACTACACGTGCCTCACTCAGCCGGTAGGCATGGACCCCCACTGTGAGCCAGGCTTGGGGCTACAGAAGCTGGACATAACCCACAGCTGGGTAAAGAGACCTGAAGTCCACTCCACCTGGGAACAGAGATACCCGAGATACGGCGCCAGCTAGCCATGTGCACACTGGTTACTCAAGGGTGACTAGATGGGAAGCCATCACCCACTGACCACAACATGGAGCACCAAGTCAGACTCAGGACGAGACACAGAAAGAGAAGAGGCTCTCCTCACCCAGGAAGCAAACCCATTCGGTGTGTAGAGAACAAGTGATCCCTACCTCACTCCGTCTACCTTGATGACCAACAGGAGGAAGACTGTAAATCATACAGCCAATGGAAGGAAATGCCAGCAAGTCTTTTTGTGACCTTGGGACAAGGAGGACTTTTTAAGACCCCAAAGCACAGACTAGAGGCACAAAACCGGTGTGTCTGCCGCCCAGCACCAAAGGCCGCACCACTGTCTGATAGCCAGCACACAAGGTACCCTCACGAGTGAGCAGTAAGCAGACTGGGCAACGGACCCAAGCGGTACCCAGACGGTACAGCCGTGGGCTGCTCCAGCTCATGGGCAACCAAGAGTCACAACCCTAACTTGTAATTAGTACAAGATCCGATCTTACACACGACTTAGGAGGTCAGATAATCGTGACTGCACGTAAAGGTGGAGCCGCACAGTTCAAGGACACACACCCAGTGGCCAAACAAGCTCTCCTACACACTCAGCCCACAGCCCGGGCCAGCGCGCACCCTGGGAGGCTCGACAGCCCCTCCGAGGGGAATCAGTGTGTGCAGTGCAGGGGCAAATGCAGCAGTGAGCTGGGGGAGCAGAACACGGGAACACAGGCAGGTCTCTGGAACACGTGATGAGTAGGAAAGAGGGCGCGGGAAGAAGCCGTACATACACGGTCATTCGTGGAAATGCAAAGCCGCACCTGACCACTAGCATCGCAACCCCTCATGGGACCAGTATGGGGTCTTGTGGACAGCAGTTCCAGCCACATGGTAAGGGTGGAGTGCCCACCGTGCATCCCCGAGCAGTGTCTTGAGGTACGTCCTCGGATGCCCACCAACGGCTCTCTACCACCTGAAGCAGCCGCTCTTTAGAGGGGATTTGCTTCACAACAGAACAGTCTCAGGACGCCCCGGCCTACAGCCCGAAGTGTGCCTTTAGGTGATTCAGGTGTTAGTGGGCACAGGGGCACAGGGGGGGGGGGGGGTCCACCCAGCCTTACTTGAGGGTCTTACTTACGGTAGACCCACCAGCCGCTGTGCGGGAGAAAGACGAGGCTGTCTGCCTCCACAGAGTGACAGCCTGGAAACCCTGAACGGTTTAACCTGCTCTGTCCTCTGTGGAGCTAGGAGTTGGAACCAACTTGCCGGTTGTGGATTTGGAGTTGGAACAGGTGTATACAGGTCCTGTCCAGCCTTACTTTGGTGTAAGAAAAGCAATGATGCAAAAGGTACACATAGCACCAAGCGACAGTGATCGTGAGGAAGAATTTCAAAGCGAGGGCAGATGTCCGGAACACTCGCACAGGGCTTCCGAGATGGAGGCCGAGCACGCTCTGTGAACGTGGGCGGCTCCACAGTCCCGCCAGGAACCCAGTCTCCCACATCAGGTCCCTGACGTTCTTCTCCCGAGTCACCCACTCCAAGGCTTCCACCCGACCCATGATTCTCCCGTTCCAGCAAGTGTGGCGGGTCACCCAAGTGGTCAAAATTCTGGTCTCTTCTGGTTTCGCTCCTTTAGTCGTGACAGAAGCAATTTCAAGCCAGAAGACGTTGTCTGTCCATCTGTAACTCACTCAGGGACTGACCAGGCCACGGCTCTCTGGTGTCCCTAACACAGGGCACAATGTCCACTTCCCCAGCTCTCTCAGATTGTCTTCCTGCCCCAGGTTCTGAAAGAACCCCCGCAGCCTTCTACAACAAACACCAAGTCCGCAGATGAAGAGGTCTCTGGAAGGTTCCGGAACATTCGGGAGAAGTCCGTAAAGAAGGCTTTATTGACGACAAAGAGACGGGCCTTTACACAGTACGAGAACTCCTGGGAGCGTGGCATGGGGCCCGAGCCCTGGAGACGCCTTGCTGGCAAGAGCTCCCAGCCCACACCGCAGCTTCCCCAGGAAGCCAACGGAAACTTCACTGTCTGACTCACTGAAGCCCAACTGGAAAAGACTCGGGGGCGCCCTGAGCAGGGAATTCTGCACCACCCTCCAGGGAAGGGTGGTCTACGAGCAAGCCCTCCTGACACAAACTCCCTTGAGAGCACTGCACAGCTGCGGCCAGGGGGCCCCGAGGGGGGATGGTGGTCACGGGCAGCCATCCACTCCAGCCTGAGGGATGCTGAAGGAGGGGGGACACATGGAAGGTGGGAGAGGGGCACAGGGGGCAGGGAGAAGTGGAGGAGCCGACACAGGAGGGCATGGGGAAGGGTGCAGGGGGAGGGGGAGGGCATGGGGGAAGGGGAGAGGGAAGGGGCATAGGAGTCAGGGAAAGGTGGGAGGGGGACACAGGAGGGCATAGGGTAGGGAGTACAGGGAGAAGGAAACACAAGGGAAGGGATGAGGGGTATGAGAGAGGAGAAGGTGGAAGGTGGGCACAGTGGGGGGACAGTGGGGGACCCAGGGCCGATGGGGAGGGCAGGTGTGGTTCTGCGGGCCACATGGCTGCAGGGCTCCTGCGTGCTCTGCCGGTGGTGGGCAGGAGACGGCATGTGGTCAGAGCAGTGGAAGTGGAGTGGGTGGGTGTGACCACAGGGGCAGGATGGGGTGGGGTGGTGCCCCCACAAAGGCTGCAGTGTGCAGCCCACCCCACCCCAGTGCCGGCACTGTTATTCCAGGGCTGGGCCCCCGGGCCGCCAGCCCGCATGTCACCGGCCCAGTGACAGCAGTGTTCTCCCCTAGAGGAAGGCGCGTTAGTAGGATGTCGTACCCACTCAGCTTCTGAGAGCACATGAAAGCACACGAACCGCTCACTCGGCAGCCCCACAGCCCTCAGACTCGGGGTCACACAGTCAGGACACGCGGTGCCCAGAGCTGCCTCAGCCAGACCAGACTCTGGGGGGTAGGGCTGGGGGGCTACCACATCTAGACCGCCACACACAGCAGCAGGACCAGAAAAGGCTCAGAAGGGGGCAGGGGCGTTACAAAGACAGCACATGTCAGGACTGCGGTGGCAGATACCAACGAGTGTCCAGGACCCCTCAGAACCAGCCAGGGGCTCCCCTTCCCCCAACACCCCCTTACCGGCTCAGGTTCCTGCGGGCACTCGGAGCCTGGCTTGGACTTCTTAGGCTCAGACGGGCCGCTGAGGTTGGAGACGGTCTTGGGCGATTTGGTAGGCGGTGATGTCAGGGGACACGCAGACCCGGGAGGGCCCCCCAAGCGCTGGCCCCCGCCCGAGAAGGGAACAAAGGGGATCGGCGAGGGTGCCTTCGTGTTCAGCTGTGGCGGATGGTCCACTAGTTTTGGGCCCTGACCATGTGCGTGGCCAGTCCCACAGGGGCCTTCATCCTCTGGGCGGCTCAGATCCCCTCCACTGAGCTCCCCAGCATCCAGGGGAAGTGCAGGGTGGCCAGTGGCCTGGTCAGCAGAAGCAGACAGTGTCGGGCTGCCCGGGGCTCTGCTCCTGGCACCCGAGGGCTCGGGCCTGCCGGATGAGCTGCTCGGCTTCACCAGAAACCTGTGGGAAAAGGCCAGGAAGGTGAGGGGGCCTGACACGGAGCCCTCATCCCAGTGTGGAAGCCCACCAGGCTCAATCACACCTCCTATTCAACATCTGCGTCAGGAGAGAAAGGCTGAGGGGTGTCAGGGTCGCCCTCTACCCATGCCATGCCCCAGTGCCTGGTTCAGGTCTTTGTTACCCTGAAGGCAGTTTTTATAAAGATACAAAGTGTCAAGATCAGTTTCTGGGCCTCAAGGCTGCACTTCCTTCCCCTGACCTGATGGTGGCGCTGCCTCCGGTGAGGCCCAGTGACTGCAATGTCGTCATCTGCAAGGCAGCCACGCCGGTCACCTGTCAGGAGAGGGAGACAGGACAGGTGGGCCCCACACCAGTCAGAGATCAGCCCTGGGAAATCACATGGGCTCCTTGTACTTTAGTACTTTCCTTCAAGTGTCCGGCCTGGACCCCAAGCTGCGGGGGCCATGAAGACAGGGTGCCCTGCTTCCCATTCCCATTCAGTGGTTCCCAGTGCCAATGGGGGACCCAGACTCAGCAGGACCTGTCAGCACCCCAGACTCCCAGAAGGGTGCCCCCTCCCTAAAGGCACGGCAGCCTCAAATCACGCTGTCCACCAGCCTCACAGCTCTCCCCACCAACTGCCTGTCACCATACTTCCTGGCGTCCCCAACCTGCCCCCTCCAGCTAAGCCCCCGAGCACAGGGATACAGAGGGGATGCCCTGGAGGAGAGGGCAGCACAGTACGGGGTGCCTGAGTCCCCTGTATGAGGGTAAGCTGATGGTCCCCATTCACCCGAAGCCAAAAACCCTACAGCCGTCCACTTCCAACTCAGCTGAGATGTACAGGCCTGATCTGGAACATCAGACTGTGGGCAAATGGGACACACCAGGGTCCACTGGGCCCCCCGGGGCAGGCGGCCACCCTGGTTGGGGAGGGACACTCTGCCAAAGTGAAACAAAAGGCCACTGTGAGGCCAGGGGCGCCGGGCGGGGGCTGGGCACGGACAGCAGGGCCTTGGTGCCAGGGCTGGGCCTGTCCCACACTACTCTCAGTTTTGAAAAAGATCAAAACACGGAGCAAAGCAAATATTTATTAAAACGAAACCACTTTTGTGACTCTCGGGCTTTGAGAGGAGCTGAGAAAACAAACAGGGTGTTGAGGGGGGTTGGGGGCACCGCGGCGTTCCAGCAGAAGTGTTTTTTCCATGAAACACAGTGTGCTTTCAGGAGCCCCGGGCCCACAGCTGCTGCCAGGCAGCCCTGAGAAGGGGGCTCCCTGGGCTGGAACAGGCGGGGGATTGGCCAGGCGCTCACCTACCTCATCTCTCATGTACACACAGGTAGGGGGCAGCTCACTCAGCTGCTCCAACTGCTCCCTAGAAGGAGAAAGGGCATTGGGCTGGCTGCTGGGACTCTCCCACAGAGGCCACCCAGGGCCACCCCTGACACCGCCGGAGGTGGCGTCACCAAGGGACGATGTCTGACTTTGGAACAGAGAGCCTGGGCCCACCCAGTCGGACAGCTGGACAGAGCCAAAAAGGCAGCCCCTCAGCAGACAGGCACAATGGCTTCCAGCAACCACAGGGGCCGAGTGCAGGTGTGTGGCAGCCCAGGCCGTCCACACAAGCTTCTACCTAAGGTCTGCTGCCAGAGGAGCTGCCCACCTGGGATGTTACAGGCTCAGGGGCTTGGAGCCTCACTTACCCCAGACTCCCCTACCTGGACCCCATAGGAAGACACAGGGCAGTGGAGTAGTCAGGTTTGTAAAAGAGTACACTGGGTCCACACCAGTTCCATCATCCTACACCCCCTCCATCAAGCAGCCCTGAGAGGAGCGGGTTGGATCCAATCTGCAGGAGTGGCCACCATAAGATTCTGAGTCCTCCCTGGGCTGCGGGCGCAGACAGGCACTGACTACAGCCCTGATTCTACTTCATTCCCTGGATCAAGGGGCAAGACTGCTTCCAAAAGGATTCAGGGCCACGGTGGACAGGCACAAAGGCAAAGCTACAGACTGAGGGTCTCGGGACAAGGGGCAGGACAGCTACCACCATCCCAAGCCAATGAAGACTAATTCAAGATGTCCATCAACAGACAATGGACAGACACAATATGGTCCATCCCTACAACAGAATACGACTGAAGGCGTCCATCCACAGACGGTGGATAAACATAGTGTGGTCCACCCATACAATGGAATGTTGTTGTTGTTGTTGTTAAGTGCCACTGAATTGGTTCCAACTCAAAGCAACCCACCCTGCATAGGGTTTCTGAGAAGTAGCTGGTGAGCTTGAACTGCTGACCTTCTGGTTGAAACTGACTTTGCAGAGCAGCGCATTACCCTCACTCCGCCATATGTAAGAATGAAGTATTGACAGATGCTACAACACAGATCACCTTAGAGACACTGAAGCCTACATACTGTCTGATTCACTTATTTGAACTGTGCAGAACGGGCAGATGTAGGAGACAGAGAGCGGATTTCTGGTGGCCAGAGCTCAAACATTACAATTGTGAGGGTGGGACAGCACCAAGCAGGGAGTCATTCTGTTGGCACAGGGTTGCTGAGGAAGAACAGACTATGCATCTATCAACAACAGAGTGTGTGTGAGTGTGTGTGTGTACTGGGGGTGGGGGGACTTTACTGGGAATCATGAGGAGCAGCTGCTAATAGGCGCAAGGTTTCCTTCGGGGCGATGAAAACATTCTGAATAGAGACGGTTGCACAACATTCTTTGTGTACGTAACTAAACTGTATGTACCTTTAACATGAATTAATAAACATTATATATCTTTTACCACAACATAAAAAGTAAATGAATAGTGCCAAAAGGCCCGAGGCCTGAGGCTCCCACTGAGGCTCCTTGAACCGGACACAGCACAGAGTCCAGGCTGGAAAGGCCCCAGTGTCCAGGGATGACCCAAAAGCAGGAGCTCGGGGTCCATGGGGACACACCCTCACCCCTACTTCACTGCACGGAAGCCTGGTCCTAAGTTTGGCCAGTTCCCCCCAGGAGTATGAACTTCACAGGCACATGGGCACCCTACACCCTCCTCCCTCAGCCCAGACCCCAGCATCACCCAAGCGTGCCCCCTGCATTCTGTCACCCACTCCTCAGTGAATCAGTGGGCCCCTGGGCCCCAGGGACCACACCCTGGGGACAAAGTCAAGGGAGGGACCTCTTGAGAGGCAAGCAGCATGGGCCCAGAAGGGGGGGGTCAGTCCACTCTCCTCTGAGTCTCTCCATCCAGCCCCTCTCGTGATAGTGATAATAGTCCAGCCCCTGGAGGCGGGCGGGCCCTGCTGCCGGCACATCAAACAGCTGCCGTCTTTGAAGTTCGGCTCCTCAGGGCCGCAGCAGATGAGGCCCTGGGCCAGCTGGGGGGCTGTAAACATGTCATGTGGGGCGGGCAGGCGGGGCGGCCCCAATCGCTTCCAGACCCTCAGCAGCAGCAGCAGGCCTTTCCTAGGGCAGCCTGGTAGATTCCAGTGACAACCAGGACACTTTACAACTCT